TATTGTGAAGCTGGCTTGTTATTGTGAGGCTGGCTTGTTATTGTGAGGCTGACTTGTTATTGTGAGGCTGGCTTGTTATTGTGAACCTGGCTTGTTATTGTGAGGCTGGCTTGTTATTGTGAGGCTGGTTTGTTATTGTGAACCTGGCTTGTTATTGTGAGGCTGGCTTGTTATTGTGAGGATGGCTTGTTATTGTGAGCGTGGCTTGTTATTGTAAACCTGGCTTGTGATTGTGAGGCTGGCTTGTGATTGTGAGGCTGGCTTGTTATTGTGAGGCTGGCTTGTTATTGTGAAGCTGGCTTGTTATTGTGAGGCTGGCTTGTTATTGTGAAGCTGGCTTGTTATTGTGAAGTTGGCTTGTTATTGTGAGGCTGGCTTGTTATTGTGAGGATGGCTTGTTATTGTGAGGCTAGCTTGTTATTGTGAGCCTGGTTTGTGATTGTGAGGCTGGTTTGTTATTGTGAGGCTGGTTTGTGATTGTGAGGCTGGTTTGTTATTGTGAGGCTGGCTTGTTATTGTGAGGCTGGTTTGTTATTGTGAGCCTGGTTTGTGATTGTGAGGCTGGTTTGTTATTGTGAGGCTGGCTTGTGATTGTGAGGCTGGCTTGTTATTGTGAAGCTGGCTTGTTATTGTGAGGCTGGCTTGTTATTGTGAAGCTAACTTGTGATTGTGAGGCTGGCTTGTTATTGTGAAGCTGGCTTGTGATTGTGAGGCTGGCTTGTTATTGTGAAGCTGGTTTGTTATTGTGAGGCTGGCTTGTGATTGTGAGGCTGGCTTGTTATTTTGAGGCTGGTTTGTGATTGTGAGGCTGGTTTGTTATTGTGAAGTTGGCTTGTGATTGTGAGGCTGGTTTGTGATTGTGAGGCTGGTTTGTGATTGTGAGGCTGGTTTGTTATTGTGAAGTTGGCTTGTGATTGTGAGGCTGGTTTGTGATTGTGAGGCTGGTTTGTGATTGTGAGGCTGGCTTGTGATTGTGAGGCTGGCTTGTGATTGTGAGGCTGGCTTCTTATTGTGAGGCTGGCTTGTGATTGTGAGGCTGGCTTGTTATTGTGAGGCTGGTTTGTGATTGTGAGGCTAGTTTGTGATTGTGAGGCTGGCTTGTGATTGTGAGGCTGGCTTGTGATTGTGAGGCTGGCTTGTTATTGTGAGGCTGGCTTGTGATTGTGAGGCTGGCTTGTGATTGTGATGCTGGTCTTGTTATTGTGAGGCTGGCTTGTGATTGTGAGGCTGGCTTGTTATTGTGAGGCTGGTTTTGATTGTGAGGCTGGTTTGTGATTGTGAGGCTGGCTTGTGATTGGAGCTGGCTTGTGATTGTGAGGCTGGCTTGTGATTGTGAGGCTGGCTTGTTATTGTGAGGCTGGCTTGTGATTGTGAGGCTGGCTTGTGATTGTGAGGCTGGCTTGTTATTGTGAGGCTGGCTTGTGATTGTGAGACTGGCTTGTTATTGTGAGGCTGGTTTGTGATTGTGAGGCTGGTTTGTGATTGTGAGGCTGGTTTGTGATTGTGAGGCTGGCTTGTGATTGTGAGGCTGGCTTGTGATTGTGAAGCTGGCTTGTTATTGTGAAGCTGGCTTGTTATGTGAGGCTGGCTTGTTATTGTGAGGCTGGCTTGTTATTGTGAGGCTGGTTGTTATTGTGAAGCTGGCTTGTATTGTGAGGCTGGCTTGTTATTGTGAGGCTGGCTTGTTATTGTGAAGCTGGCTTGTTATTGTGAGGCTGGCTTGTTATTGTGAAGCTGGCTTGTTATTGTGAGGCTGGCTTGTTATTGTGAGGCTGGCTTGTTATTGTGAGGCTGGCTTGTGATTGTGAGGCTGGTTTGTGATTGTGAGGCTGACTTGTGATTGTGAGGCTGGCTTGTGATTGTGAGGCTGGCTTGTGATTGTGAGGCTGCCTTGTGATTGTGAGGCTGGCTTGTGATTGTGAGGCTGGCTTGTTATTGTGAGGCTGGCTTGTGATTGTGAGGCTGGCTTGTGATTGTGAGGCTGGCTTGTTATTGTGAGGCTGGCTTGTGATTGTGAGGCTGGCTTGTGATTGTGAGGCTGGCTTGTTATTGTGAGGCGGCTTGTTATTTTGAGGCTGGCTGTTATTGTGAGGCTGGCTTGTGATTGTGAGGCTGGCTTGTGATTGTGAGGCTGGCTTGTGATTGTGAGGCTGGCTTGTTATTGTGAGGCTGGCTTGTGATTGTGAGGCTGGCTTGTGATTGTGAGGCTGGCTTGTGATTGTGAGGCTGGCTTGTTATTGTGAGGCTGGCTTGTGATTGTGAGGCTGGCTTGTGATTGTGAGGCTGGCTTGTTATTGTGAGGCTGGCTTGTTATTGTGAGGCTGGCTTGTTATTGTGAGGCTGGCTTGTTATTGTGAGGCTGGCTTGTGATTGTGAGGCTGGCTTGTGATTGTGAGGCTGGCTTGTGATTGTGAGGCTGGCTTGTTATTGTGAGGCTGGCTTGTGATTGTGAGGCTGGCTTGTGATTGTGAGGCTGGCTTGTGATTGTGAGGCTGGCTTGTGATTGTGAGGCTGGCTTGTTTTGTGAGGCTGGCTTGTGATTGTGAGGCTGGCTTGTGATTGTGAAGCTGGCTTGTGATTGTGAGGCTGGCTTGTGATTTTGAGGCTGGCTTGTGATTGTGAGGCTGGCTTGTTATTGTGAGGCTGGCTTGTGATTGTGAGGCTGGCTTGTTATTGTGAGGCTGGCTTGTGATTTTGAGGCTGGCTTGTGATTGTGAGGCTGACTTGTGATTGTGAGGCTGACTTGTGATTGTGAGGCTGGCTTGTTATTGTGAGGCTGGCTTGTTGTGAGGCTGGCTTGTTGTGAGGCTGGCTTGTTGTGAGGCTGGCTTGTTGTGAGGCTGGCTTGTTGTGAGGCTGGCTTGTTATTGTGAGGCTGGCTTGTGATTGTGAGGCTGGCTTGTGATTGAGGCTGGCTTGTTATTGTGAGGCTGGCTTGTGATTGTGAGGCTGGCTTGTGATTGTGAGGCTGGCTTGTGATTGTGAGGCTGGCTTGTATTGTGAGGCTGGCTTGTGATTGTGAGGGCTGGCTTGTGATTGTGAGGCTGGCTTGTGATTGTGAGGCTGGCTTGTGATTGTGAGGCTGGCTTGTGATTGTGAGGCTGGCTTGTGATTGTGAGGCTGGCTTGTGATTGTGAGGCTGGCTTGTGATTGTGAGGCTGGCTTGTGATTGTGAGGCTGGCTTGTGATTGTGAGGCTGGCTTGTGATTGTGAGGCTGGCTTGTGATTGTGAGGCTGGCTTGTAATTGTGAGGCTGGCTTGTGATTGTGAGGCTGGCTTGTGATTGTGAGGCTGGCTTGTTGTGTGGCTGGCTTGTTGTGAGGCTGGCTTGGATTGTGAGGCTGGCTTGTGATTGTGAGGCTGGCTTGTGATTGTGAGGCTGGCTTGTGATTGTGAGGCTGGCTTGTGATTGTGAGGCTGGCTTGTGATTGTGAGGCTGGCTTGTGATTGTGAGGCTGGCTTGTGATTGTGAGGCTGGCTTGTGATTGTGAGGCTGGCTTGTGATTGTGAGGCTGGCTTGTGATTGTGAGGCTGGCTTGTGATTGTGAGGCTGGCTTGTTGTGAGGCTGGCTTGTTGTGAGGCTGGCTTGTGATTGTGAGGCTGGCTTGTGATTGTGAGGCTGGCTTGTGATTGTGAGGCTGGCTTGTGATTGTGAGGCTGGCTTGTGATTGTGAGGCTGGCTTGTTGTGAGGCTGGCTTGTTGTGAGGCTGGCTTGTGATTGTGAGGCTGGCTTGTGATTGTGAGGCTGGCTTGTGATTGTGAGGCTGGCTTGTGATTGTGAGGCTGGCTTGTTGTGAGGCTGGCTTGTTGTGAGGCTGGCTTGTGATTGTGAGGCTGGCTTGTTGTGAGGCTGGCTTGTTGTGAGGCTGGCTTGTGATTGTGAGGCTGGCTTGTTGTGAGGCTGGCTTGTTGTGAGGCTGGCTTGTTGTGAGGTTGGCTTGTTGTGAGGCTGGCTTGTTGTGAGGCTGGCTTGTTGTGAGGCTGGCTTGTGATTGTGAGGCTGGCTTGTGATTGTGAGGCTGGCTTGTTGTGAGGCTGGCTTATTGTGAGGCTGGCTTGTTGTGAGGCTGGCTTGTGATTGTGAGGCTGGCTTGTTGTGAGGCTGACTTTTGATTGTGAGGCTGGCTTGTTGTGAGGCTGGCTTGTTGTGAGGCTGGCTTGTGATTGTGAGGCTAGCTTGTTGTGAGGCTGGCTTGTGATTGTGAGGCTGGCTTGTTGTGAGGCTGGCTTGTTGTGAGGCTGGCTTGTGATTGTGAGGCTGGCTTGTTGTGAGGCTGGCTTGTTGTGAGGCTGGCTTGTTGTGAGGCTGGCTTGTGATTGTGAGGCTGGCTTGTTGTGAGGCTGGCTTGTGATTGTGAGGCTGGCTTGTTGTGAGGCTGGCTTGTTGTGAGGCTGGCTTGTGATTGTGAGGCTGGCTTGTTGTGAGGCTGGCTTGTGATTGTGAGGCTGGCTTGTTGTGAGGCTGGCTTGTGATTGTGAGGCTGGCTTGTTGTGAGGCTGGCTTGTGATTGTGAGGCTGGCTTGTTGTGAGGCTGGCTTGTTATTGTGAGGCTGGCTTGTTATTGTGAGGCTGGCTTGTTATTGTGAAGCTGGCTTGTTATTGTGAGGCTGGCTTGTTGTGAGGCTGGCTTGTTATTGTGAGGCTGGCTTGTTGTGAGGCTGGTTTGTGATTGGTCGAAGCCTTCGTAATTGTCCTTGCATTAAAAGAGAAGCGTTTAATTAACCCTTATGGGCCATACATCACTTTTTGAATGCCAGTTCATCATATTTGATCCGAGGAAGCGAATTGTAGCTCCAGTTCCTCGGATCAAGAGTCCGCTAGCATCAAGGTACCTCTGTCATCTGTGTTCGTGAAGAAATATTACCCCAGGATAACTGACCGAATCATGCGGATTTATCGCTTTCGGTCATTGTATTAATAATGAGACAAGTCTTGTGATGATGTTTATTATTATTATCATTGTGTGTGTGTGTGTGTGTGTGTGTGTGTGTGTGTGTGTGTGTGTGTGTGTGTGGTGTGTGTGTGTGTGTGTGTACAAGGGAGAGACGGGTGGCAGACATCGTGGATGTCCTTACCGAGGTTATTTCCTTCTACCTAGATTAAAGAACTGTCATGATTATCCAGGCGTAAGAGTCGAGGAGAGAGAAGCAGAAGGTTCTCCTCCCTCCCTGACCCTAACATCATTCAATTTTTCTCTCCAAATATGTTTATATATTCCAAGTAAACATGTTATCCACATACGACAGCGAAATGTACAGTAAATCGAAAGTAGAAGCACTTAAAAACATCATGGTTGGATGGGGATTGAACTCGCGGCAAGTGAGTCTAGAAGCACTCTCATTCCGTCAGGAGTTCAACGTCGCCCAAGTCGGGGACGTGAGGAACTGCCTGACGGAGATCGTCGACGGTACAGCAATAGGTGAAGCCATGAACGAGGTCGCTGATGTCGAAGTTGATCCATGTGAGGCGGTCACAGAGGTCGTCACACAGCCTGGTGGGTGCTGTGGTCAGGTGAGGGTTGTTCACACCTACCACAGCCACTGCCTGTTGCCGAGCCTCGTCGTGTATCACCTGACGGGGAGCCAAACATCGCCGTTAGTGAACGGAGGATCGAGCATGCATTTAAATATAATAAATTAACTCATGAAGTTTCTCTGTAAAGTGGTGTCTCAGTACATGCGACTGATGAAGTACACCTGGAGTTGGACACTGCAACGAAAGGCCTTCAAAGTATTTATATTCAATTTTGAATGAGTTTTTTTCAACGGCATTTACCCCAAAAAAAAAACAAGATTCACAGTATATAAAGAAGCTTTTTAAAATAGCTGACTGTTCATGCAAGAATCTGATAGATTTTAAATACAGACAAGCCACAAAATTTTTGAAAAAAAAAATATCCGAGGCCTGCCGACACATTTCATTCTCCTTTTGAAGCAAATTTTGCAACGCCAGCCGCCACGGGGCAAAGCCACACGGCTCTCAACGACGAAGCCATGTGGCTTTTGCCCCCCCCCCCCCACCCCTTGAACGCCACTGCGTGATGAGGGACACACCTTCCAGGTGACAGCAGGGGCGGGTACGACCTTCTGGTCCTCAGATAGACCCAGATAGATCTCAACGATGTTGTTGTTGATGTCGTTGAGTTGTAACACCCCCCAACCCCCGCTGAAGATGGTCAGGTCACCGTGGCTCTCTGCCAGGTCACGGGTCGCGAACTCCAGGTACTGCAGGTCACAAGAGCATCAGAAAGAACACAGAAAATTATCTGCTGGTAGTATATTATTATTATTATTATTATTATTATTATTATTATTATTATTATTATTATTATTATTATTATTATTATTATTATTATTATTTACCAGCGTTATGGCACACTTCCAGTGCCATGGCGACTGGCACCATTTACTTGTTCCAGCATCACAAACTCACCGCAGACCTGCCATGTCTCCTTGGCACTCACCTTCCAGTTGCCATTATTAAAGGCCTGCCACTGTGGCACCGCGTTGATGTAGAAGTAGGTGGCATCCTGCTCTGGCACCGTCACGAAGTCGGCGTCGGGGGCCAAGTGGCCCTTGGCGAAGTAAAATTCCTTGCTTACGTTGATGGTCTGGTTGGCCAGATCCTGAGGCAAGGATTGTGTCCACTGAGGCAAGGATTGTGTCCACTGAGGCAAGGATTGTGTCCACTGAGGCAAGGATTGTGTACACTGAAGCAAGGATTGTGTCCACTGAGGCAAGGATTGTGTCCACTGAGGCAAGGATTGTGTACACTAAGGCAAGGATTGTGTACACTGAGGCAAGGATTGTGTACACTGAGGCAAGGATTGTGTACACTGAGGCAAGGATTGTGTACACTGAGGCAAGAACTGTGTACACTGAAGCAAGGATTGTGTACACTGAGGCAAGAACTGTGTACACTGAAGCAAGGATTGTGTACACTGAAGCAAGGATTGTGTACACTGAGGCAAGGATTGTGTACACTGAGGCAAGGATTGTGTCCACTGAGGCAAGGATTGTGTCCACTGAGGCAAGGATTGTGTCCACTGAGGCAAGGATTGTGTACACTGAGGCAAGGATTGTGTACACTGAAGCAAGGATTGTGTACACTGAAGCAAGGATTGTGTACACTGAGGCAAGGATTGTGTCCACTGAGGCAAGGATTGTGTACACTGAAGCAAGGATTGTGTACACTGAAGCAAGGATTGTGTACACTGAGGCAAGGATTGTGTACACTGAAGCAAGGATTGTGTACACTGAGGCAAGGATTGTGTACACTGAGGCAAGGATTGTGTCCACTGAGGCAAGGATTGTGTCCACTGAAGCAAGGATTGTGTACACTGAAGCAAGGATTGTGTACACTGAAGCAAGGATTGTGTACACTGAGGCAAGGATTGTGTACACTGAAGCAAGGATTGTGTACACTGAAGCAAGGATTGTGTACACTGAAGCAAGGATTGTGTACACTGAGGCAAGGATTGTGTCCACTGAGGCAAGGATTGTGTACACTGAGGCAAGGATTGTGTACACTGAAGCAAGGATTGTGTACACTGAGGCAAGAATTGTGTACACTGAAGCAAGGATTGTGTACACTGAGGAAAGGATTGTGTACACTGAGGCAAGGATTGTGTACACTGAAGCAAGGATTGTGTCCACTGAGGCAAGAACTGTGTACACTGAAGCAAGGATTGTGTACACTGAGGAAAGGATTGTGTACACTGAGGCAAGGATTGTGTACACTGAGGCAAGGATTGTGTACACTGAAGCAAGAATTGTGTCCACTGAGGCAAGAACTGTGTACACTGAAGCAAGGATTGTGTACACTGAGGAAAGGATTGTGTACACTGAGGCAAGAACTGTGTACACTGAAGCAAGGATTGTGTACACTGAGGAAAGGATTGTGTACACTGAGGCAAGAATTGTGTACACTGAAGCAAGGATTGTGTACACTGAGGCAAGAACTGTGTACACTGAAGCAAGGATTGTGTACACTGAGGAAAGGATTGTGTACACTGAGGCAAGAACTGTGTACACTGAAGCAAGGATTGTGTACACTGAGGCAAGAACTGTGTACACTGAAGCAAGGATTGTGTACACTGAGGCAAGGATTGTGTACACTGAGGCAAGAACTGTGTACACTGAGGCAAGGATTGTGTACACTGAAGCAAGGATTGTGTACACTGAGGCAAGAACTGTGTACACTGAAGCAAGGATTGTGTCCACTGAGGCAAGGATTGTGTACACTGAAGCAAGGATTGTGTACACTGAGGCAAGGATTGTGTACACTGAAGCAAGGATTGTGTACACTGAGGCAAGAACTGTGTACACTGAAGCAAGGATTGTGTCCACTGAGGCAAGGATTGTGTACACTGAAGCAAGGATTGTGTACACTGAGGCAAGGATTGTGTACACTGAGGCAAGGATTGTGTACACTGAGGCAAGGATTGTGTACACTGAAGCAAGGATTGTGTACACTGAAGCAAGGATTGTGTACACTGAGGCAAGAATTGTGTACACTGAAGCAAGGATTGTGTACACTGAAGCAAGGATTGTGTACACTGAGGCAAGGATTGTGTACACTGAGGCAAGGATTGTGTACACTGAGGCAAGGATTGTGTACACTGAGGCAAGAATTGTGTACACTGAAGCAAGGATTGTGTACACTGAAGCAAGGATTGTGTACACTGAGGCAAGGATTGTGTACACTGAAGCAAGGATTGTGTACACTGAGGCAAGAATTGTGTACACTGAGGCAAGGATTGTGTACACTGAAGCAAGGATTGTGTACACTGGGGCAAGGATTGTGTACACTGGGGCAAGGATTGTGTACACTGGGGCAAGGATTGTGTACACTGGGGCAAGGATTGTGTACACTGGAGCAAGGATTGTGTACACTGAGGCAAGGATTGTGTACACTGAGGCAAGGATTGTGTACACTGAGGCAAGGATTGTGTACACTGGGGCAAGGATTGTGTACACTGGGGCAAGGATTGTGTACACTGAGGCAAGGATTGTGTACACTGGGGCAAGGATTGTGTACACTGAGGCAAGGATTGTGTACACTGAGGCAAGGATTGTGTACACTGAAGCAAGGATTGTGTACACTGGGGCAAGGATTGTGTACACTGAGGCAAGGATTGTGTACACTGAGGCAAGGATTGTGTACACTGAGGCAAGGATTGTGTACACTGAGGCAAGGATTGTGTATACTGAGGCAAGGATTGTGTACACTGAGGCAAGGATTGTGTACACTGAGGCAAGGATTGTGTACACTGAAGCAAGGATTGTGTACACTGAGGCAAGGATTGTGTACACTGAGGCAAGGATTGTGTACACTGAGGCAAGGATTGTGTACACTGGGGCAAGGATTGTGTACACTGGGGCAAGGATTGTGTACACTGGGGCAAGGATTTTATATTATAAAGCACTAAACGAGAGTGTAAAAGGAAGGAGAGAGTGAGAACGATAAAGGGAGAAAATGAGAGAAAGGAAGAAAGAAAGAAAGAAAGAGAGAGAGAGAGAGAGAGAGGAGAGAGGAGAGAGAGAGAGAGAGAGAGAGAGAGAGAGAGAGAGAGAGAGAGAGAGGGGAGAGAGAGAGAGAGAGGAGAGAGAAGAGAGAGGGAGAGAGAGAGAGAGAGAGAGAGAGAGGGGAGAGAGAGAGAGAGGAGAGAGGAGAGAGAGAGAGAGAGAGAGAGAGAGAGAGGAGAAAGAGAGAGAGAGAGAGAGAGAGAGAGAGAGAGAGAGAGAGAGAGAGAGAGAGAGAGAGAGAGAGAGAGAGAGAGAGAGAGAGACCAGACGAAATTGTTGGCCCACAGATGGCTTCAACTTCTTCCTATTCCATACTCGTATGTTTTATAACTGCAAAATACTTTGAAATGAGTTGATGCAGGTAACAACTCTTAGTTTGTAAATGACGTTAGAAACTCTTAGTTTGTAAATGACGTTAGAAACTCTTAGTTTGTAAATGACGTTAGAAACTCTTAGTTTGTAAATGACGTTAGAAACTCTTAGTTTGTAAATGACGTTAGAAACTCTTAGTTTGTAAATGACGTTAGAAACTCTTAGTTTGTAAATGACGTTAGAAACTCTTAGTTTGTAAATGACGTTAGAAACTCTTAGTTTGTAAATGACGTTAGAAACTCTTAGTTTGTAAATGACGTTAGAAACTCTTAGTTTGTAAATGACGTTAGAAACTCTTAGTTTGTAAATGACGTTAGAAACTCTTAGTTTGTAAATGACGTTAGAAACTCTTAGTTTGTAAATGACGTTAGAAACTCTTAGTTTGTAAATGACGTTAGAAACTCTTAGTTTGTAAATGACGTTAGAAACTCTTAGTTTGTAAATGACGTTAGAAACTCTTAGTTTGTAAATGACGTTAGAAACTCTTAGTTTGTAAATGACGTTAGAAACTCTTAGTTTGTAAATGACGTTAGAAACTCTTAGTTTGTAAATGACGTTAGAAACTCTTAGTTTGTAAATGACGTTAGAAACTCTTAGTTTGTAAATGACGTTAGAAACTCTTAGTTTGTAAATGACGTTAGAAACTCTTAGTTTGTAAATGACGTTAGAAACTCTTAGTTTGTAAATGACGTTAGAAACTCTTAGTTTGTAAATGACGTTAGAAACTCTTAGTTTGTAAATGACGTTAGAAACTCTTAGTTTGTAAATGACGTTAGAAACTCTTAGTTTGTAAATGACGTTAGAAACTCTTAGTTTGTAAATGACGTTAGAAACTCTTAGTTTGTAAATGACGTTAGAAACTCTTAGTTTGTAAATGACGTTAGAAACTCTTAGTTTGTAAATGACGTTAGAAACTCTTAGTTTGTAAATGACGTTAGAAACTCTTAGTTTGTAAATGACGTTAGAAACTCTTAGTTTGTAAATGACGTTAGAAACTCTTAGTCTCTTTCAGGGTCTTGTGTACATCAATGAGAAAGTGGAACAAGAAGGGAAAGTGAAAGGAAAGTGAGATAGTGAACGAGAGTGAGAAGAGGAATAGGGAGAAAGCAAAGGAATATAATGAAGAAGAGAAAGGAAGAGCCACGGAATAGAGATGGGGAAGTAAATAAATGGAAACCGTGAAGAAATATGGGTAGGAGAGGCAGGAGAAGAAGAAAAGAAAGAGGAGAGAAGAGTGGAAGAGAACAGAATTAAATGGCTCAAAGACAGAGTGAGAGGAAAATAGGAATATGGGTAAAGTCAGTAATGTAAGTAAGATACGTGTATCATCCAATACAGAAATAATCTCTCTCTCTCTCTCTCTCTCTCTCTCTCTCTCTCTCTCTCTCTCTCTCTCTCTCTCTCTCTCTCTCTCTCTCTCTCTCTCTCTCTCTCTCTCTCTCTCTCTCTCTCTCTCTCTCTCTCTCTCTCTCTCTCTCTCTGTCTCTCTCTCTCTCTCTCTCGCAGCCACCGTGAGTTAGTTTTATTTTCTCCAATATACTTCACAAAACTAATCAAAGCGACCCCTCAACCTGGTCACAGCTGGTCACACCTGAGAGCCTTCTTCCTCACCTCCAATTAACTATTCCCCTCCCCCGTCCTCACACCTGCGAAGTTGCCATGGCAACATCCCTGACACCATGACTGCCATAGTGAAGAGCTCTGTCCCACAAGGCACAGTACTCGCACCTATCCTGTTTCTTATTCTCATATCAGACACAGACAGAGATGTAAACCACAGCGCTGTATCATCTTTAGCAGACGATACTAGGATCTGCATGAGAGTGTCATCCATTGAGGACACTGTTAACCTCCAAGAAGATATAAACCAAGTTTTCCAATGGGCAACAGAGAACAATATGATGTTCAATGAAGACAAATTCCAACTACTCCGTTATGGAAAACTGGAGGAAATAATAACTAGAACTGAGTATACTACAAACTCCAATCACACAATAGAGAGGAAAAGTAATGTGAGGGACCTGGGAGTGGTAATGTCCGAAGACCTCACCTTAAAGGACCACAACAATGCCACTATCACATCTGCTAGGAAACTGATGGGATGGATAATGAGAACATTCAAGACAAGAGATGCTAAGCCAATGATGATCCTTTTTAAATCACTTATTCTTTCTAGGCTGGAATACTGCTGTACATTAACATCCCTATTCAAGGCAGGTGAAATTGCAGAGCTAGAGAATGTACAGAGAACCTTTACTGCACGTATAAGTTCCATCAAACACCTTAACTACTGGGAGCGCCTGGAAGCACTTGGACTTGTACTCACTAGAGCGCAGGCGAGAGAGATATATCATAATCTACACCTGGAAGATTCTGGAGGGACTGGTCCCTAATATGCACACAGAAATCACTCCATACGAAAGCAAAAGACTTGGCAGGCGATGCAGCATACCCCCAGTGAAAAGTATGGGCGTCACTGGTACACTAAGAGAAAACACAATAAGTGTCCGGGGCCCAAGACTGTTCAACAGCCTCCCACCAGCAATAAGGGGCATTACGGGAAAACCCCTGGTTGTCTTCAAGAGGGAGCTGGACAGATACCTAAAGACGGTGCCGGATCAGCCGGGCTGTGGTTCGTACGTTCAATTGCGTGCGGCCAGCAGTAACAGCCTCGTTGATCAGGCCCTGATCCACCGGGAGGCCTGGTCGTGGACCGGGCCACAGGGGCGTTGATCCCCGGAATGCCCTCCAGGTAGACTCCAGGTGGCAACTCTCGCCATTTACGACTACCGTTATGGCTACTCCCGTTATGCCAACTCTCTGTGACTATAGGGCTGTAGTGAGAGGCGGAAATATATCTGTTTAACTGTTTACCTCTGTTGAAAGCTGGCATCTCCAAGGATACTACGAGTACACACACACACACACACACACACACACACACACACTGGAGGATAGGAGAGATAGGGGGGACATGATAACGACATACAAAATACTGAGATGAATTGACAAAGTGGACAAAGACAGGATGTTCCAGAGATTGGACACAGTAAGAAGGGGACACAGTTGGAAGTTGAAGACACAGATGAATCACAAGAATGTTAGGAAGTATTTCTTCAGCCACAGAGTAGTCAGGAAGTGGAATAGTTTGGGAAGCGATGTAGTGGAGGCAGGATCCATGCATAGCTTTAAGCAGAGGTATGATAAAGCTCACGGCTCAGGGAGAGTGACCTAGTAGCGACCAGTGAAGAGGCGGGGCCAGGAGCTTGGTCTCGACCCCCTGCAACCTCAACTAGGTGAGTACACACACACACACACACACACACACACACACATACACACACACACACACACACACATACATACACACACACACACACACACACACACACACACCACACACACACACACACACACACACACACACACACACACACACACACACACACACACACACACACACACACACACACACACACACACACACACACACACACATACACCTGCGGACAGTTGCGAGACAAAGCCAGGAGCTGCGACTCGACCCCCTCTCCACCAAACCGTTGAATACACGACAGCTACAAAGAATACTCTGAAAGAATATGATAGCAGAGATAAGGACAGATATCCAAACACTATCAGCAGGCAGAACAGGGAACGACAGGGAAGAGCAGGGAAGAACAGGGAAGACAGGGAGAACAGGGAAGAACAGGGAAGACAGGGATAACAGGGAAGAACAGGGAAGAACAGGGAAGACAGGGAGAACAGGGAAGAACAGGGAAGACAGGGAGAACAGGGAAGAACAGGGAAGAACAGGGAAGACAGGGAGAACAGGGAAGAACAGGGAAGACAGGGAGAACAGGGAAGAACAGGGAAGACAGGGAGAACAGGGAAGAACAGGGAAGACAGGGAAGACAGGGAAGAACAGGGAAGACAGGAGAACAGGGAAGAACAGGGAAGACAGGGAGAACAGGGAAGAACAGGGAAGACAGGGAAGACAGGGAAGAACAGGGAAGACAGGAGAACAGGGAAGAACAGGGAAGAACAGGGAAGACAGGGAAGAACTGGAAATTCTTCACTAAAGCCTATACGAAAATTTACTCTAAAATATAGAACAAACACGACTGCACACCAATATATATTTTTTTTAATTCTCGTGGGGGAAACGCCAAACCCGTAGGGGTCATGAATTTCCTGGGGAGAATAATTATGGTCAGTGGTTGACTTGGGAGGGTTTAAAGCCTTTCTACTACACGAGGGTCATTTAAGTTTACACGTCACCCGTGCGCACCACCAGTCAATCATTCTTTAATACCTAAAATTGGGACTAAATTCACAGAGTGTTACATTGTGAGGATGTACACCTCTCGGTGTATACATGGTGTGATGTGCGGGTGTAGACTCTATCCTCCGTCTTCACTTACAGAGTCTCCAAGGAGCTCAGTCATCAGATTGAGCTGGGAGTTCTGGGAGTACACGGAGCTCATGGACACGGTGAAGAAACCTGAGGAGGTCTTGAAGTCGGGGCGGTTGGGATCCACGTCCTTGGCGGCGATGTTTCGCCCTTTGATCACGTTCTGTGAGTACAGCGTCGTTTCGCTCGTTGGGTCGAAACACACTCGTATCTGAGGCACGAGAGAAGACGCGCTGATGATGGTGATGCACCTTGATGACCCATGAGAGGATCTTGATTCAAAGATATGAATCTACTCCTCCTGATGCCATATATATATAATGTATATACATATATATATATATATATATATATATATATATATATATATATATATATATATATATATATATATATATATATATATATATATATATATATATATATACCCATGTTCTGTGAGATTCCTTCGAAGGCCCTTCTATCTTAATCCTATGATTATAATTATTATTATTGTTATTGTTGTTGCAAATTGGGGAAAAAGCTGAGCCGAAGAGCTACGAGAAAAATTTTCTCCGCCAATAAAATGGTTGATCAGTGGAATTATTGACAAGAGACGTGGAAAGTGTTGCAATCACTGGAAACGATAATAGGAAAAAAAGGTATGCCATCAGTGCCTGACCCACCGTCGCCGGGCGGGGGGCTTTGACCTCCACGGAAAAATCTCCAGGTAGCCTCCAGGCAGATACTAGGAGCATACCCCTGCTCCCGTAGCTACACAGAGACCTGCTTACATAAAGGTAACTACTTGCCAGCTCGTAGAAGCTCTCCGGGCCGAGAATTCCGAGAATTTCGAAACCGATGATGTGGATCACGCCGATGTCTTCAGAGCCGCAGGATCCTGTGTTCCTACGAATGGTTGCGGCAGCCTCTGCAGTGCAGCCCAGGTCCTTCATCTCCCACGTCTGTGTGAGTGTTGTTTATTCGTTAAAATGCAGGAAGATCACACAACGCTGTCATGCAATCAAACGCGTGAGGAACAGTAACCCAGATCTGACGTCAGAAAGGCGGTGAATGTAGATGAATGGTTCAGAGAACCGATAAGTTGATAAATTAGACACATGTGCAACACTTGGGTATCTTTAATGAGGAAACGTTTCGCCACACAGTGGATTCATCAGACCATACAAAGAAGAACGGGGAAGAACAGGAGGAGTTTGAGGTAATTAGTCCCTCAGCCTTGAGTCGATGTGGTCAGTCCATCAATCTTGAAAAGATTACCGTAGGCAGGAGAGGTGCAGCAGTCGTAGGTGGTGTCACATTTGTCCAATGTGGAAGTAGGTCGTGCCTAAGGGTTAGGCAAGTGAAGAATTCCCAAGTATTAAGATCCCAAGAAGTTGCTGTGTCAGACAGGATTGTGGATTGATGGACTGACCACATCGACTCAAGGCTGAGACTCTGATTACCTCAAACTCCTGTTCTTCACCATTCTCCTTTGTATTGGACTGATGAAGCCACTGTCTGGCGAAACGATTATTCAGCAAAGATACCCAAGTGTTGCACATGTGTCTAATTCATCAAAGCAGTGACGAAAGGATTAGTGGACCAAAAGGTTGGTGGACTAACGGATTGGTGGACCAAAAATTTGTGGACCGAAGATTGGAGGACCAACTGATCCGTTAAGAGGGGAAATTATCTGTTGATTGGGTTTGAACTCTATCGACTACACGAGGGTTATTAAGGTTGCGTGTCACCAGTTACCGGTGTAGATGATGCGGTTAGCAGGTAAGATAACACCAACTGTTATGTCTGACTGAGAGTTTAATAACTCTCGAGGTTATATACACTGGGAGATACACATCCCTCGGTGTATATAACCTTGTATGGAAGATTCGGACAAGATAGAATGGAATAGAATGAGAAATAGGGTAGACAGAAGAAGTATAAAATAGATACAAGGATGACGAGACCAGCAACCAGGAGGCCTGGTCTGGGACCAGCCCACGGGGGCGGTGACCCCCGATAGCGGCTCCAGGTAGATTCCAGGTATGTATAGTGTATATATGAGGAAAGAGAGAGAGAGAGTAAAGCATCACAGCTTAAAAGTGAGTTTGATGATTGAACTTTTGTGCACCTGTGCCTAAACGAACTTACCTTGTCGTCGATCCAGAGGTTGCGACCTCCATCACAGGTGGCCTCCACCGTCGTCACCGCCAGGCTGGTGATATTAGTCCCCGGGCAATCTAGTATCAGCTTACTGCCCGCCGTCACCCTGGGGAAAGCAGCAACCACCTGGGTGTCAGATATCAAATTTCTCAACCAAGCTATAGTCACCCCCTCATCCATCCTTTACTCTCATCCACCTCCTTATACCATATAAACTGTGTTTGTGTGTGTGTGTACTCACCTAGTTGTACTCACCTAGTTGTGGTTGCAGGGGTCGATTCATAGTTCCTGTCCCGCCTCTTCACTGGTCCCTACTAGGTCACTCTCCCTGAACCGTGAGCTTTATCATACCTCTGCTTAAAGCTATGTATGGATCCTGCCTCCACTACATCGCTTCCCAAACTATTCCACTTCCTGACTACTCTGTGGCTGAAGAAATACTTCCTAACATCCCTGTGATTCATCTGTGTCTTCAGCTTCCAACTGTGTCCCCTTGTTAATGTGTCCCATCTCTGGAACATCCTGTCTTTGTCCACCTTGTCAATTCCTCTCGGTATTTTATATGTCGTTATCATGTGCCCCTATCTCTCCTGTCCTCCAGTGTCATCAGGTCGATTTCCCTTAACCTCTCCTAGTAGGGCATACCTTTTAGCTCTGGGACTAGTTTTGTTGCAAACCTTTGCACATTCTCTAGTTTCTTTATGTGCTTGGCTAGGTGTGGGTTCCAAACTGGTGCCGCATACTCCGTTATGGGCCTAACGTACACAGTGTACAGGGTCCTGAACAATTCCTTATTAAGATGTCGGAATGCTGTTCTGAGGTTTGCTAGGCGCCCATATGCTGCAGCAGTTATTTGGTTGATGTTCGCCTCAGGACATGTGCCTGGTGTTATACTCACTGCAAGATCTTTTTCTTTGAGTGAAGTTTGTAGTCTCTGCCCCACCTAGACTGTACTCCGTCTGCGGTCTTCTTTGCCCTTCCACGATCTTCATGACTTTGCACTTGGTGGGGCTGAACTCCAGGAGCCAATTGCTGGACCAGGTCTGCAGAATGTCCAGATCCCTTTGCCTGGTCTTCGTCCGAATGAATTCTCATCAACTTCACATCATCTGCAAACAGGGACACTTCGGAGTATATTCCTTCCGTCATGTCGTTCACAAATACCAGAAACAGCACTGACCCCTGTGGGACCCCACTCGTCAGAGGTGCCCACTCTGACACCTCGCCACGTACCATGACTCGCTGCTGTCTTCCTGACAAGTATTCTCTGATCCATTGTAGTGCCTTCTCTGTTATCCCTGCCTGGTCCTCCAGTTTTTGCACTAATCTCTTGTGTGGAACTGTATCAAACGCCTTCTTGCAGTCCAAGAAAATGCAATCTACCCACCCCACTCTCTCTTGACTTACTGCTGTCACCCTGTCATTGAACTTCAGTAGATTTGTGACACAGGATTTCCCGTCCTTGAAACAATGTTGGCTGCTGATAATAAGATCAATCCTTTCTAGGTGCGTGTGTGTGTGTGTGTGTGTGTGTGTGTGTGTGTGTGTGTGTGTGTGTGTGTGTGTGTGTGTGTGTGTGTGTGTGTGTGTGTGTGTGTGTGTGTGTGTGTGTGTGTGTGTGTGCGTGTGTGTGTGTGTATGTGTGTCTGTGTGTCTGTGCGTCTGTGCGTCTGTGTGTGTCTGAGTGTGTAGTCACCTATTTATGGTTGCAGGGGTCGAGTCTCAGCGCCTGGCCCCACCTCTTCACTGATCACTACTACGTCCTCTCTCTCCCTGCTCCATGAACTTTATCATACCTCGTCTTAAAGCTATGTATGGTTCCTGCCTCCACTACCTCACTTTGGAGACTATTCCACTTCCTGACAGCTGTGTGACTGAAGAAATACTTCCTAACATCCCTTTGAATCATCTGAGTCTTCAACTTCTAATTGTGACCCCTTGCTTATGTGTACCATCTCTGGAACATCCTGTCTCTGTCTACCTTATCTATTCCTCGCAATATTTTGTATGTCGTTTTCATGTCTCCCCTAACCCTCCTGTCCTCCGGTGTCGTCAGGCCTATTTCCTTTAACCTTTCTTCATAGGGCATTCCCCTTATCTCTGGAACTAGCCTTTTTGCAAACCTTTGCACTGCCTCTAATTTCTTGACGTGCTTGACCATGTGTGGGTTCCAAACTAGTGATGCATACTCCAGTATGGGGCTGATGTACACAGTGTATAGTGTCTTAAACGATTCCTTACTGAGGTATCGGAACGCTAATCTCAGGTTTGCCAGGCGCCCATATGCTGCAGCAGTTATCTGGTTGATGTGAGCTTCCGAAGACATGCTCGGTATTATGCTCACCCCAAGATTTTTCTCCTTGAGCGAGGTTTGAAGTCTTTGGCCACCTAGTCTATACTCTGTCTGCTGTCTTCTTTGCCCTTCCCCGATCTTCATGACTTTGCATTTGGCGGGTTAAATTCGAGTAGCCAGTTGTTGGACCACGTGTCCAGCCTGTCCAGGTCTCTTTGGAGTTCTGCCTGATCCTCATTTGATTTAATTCCTCTCATTAGCTTCACATCTTCTGCGAACAGGGACACTTCTGAGTCTAACCCTTCCATCAGGTTATTCACATATACCAGAAATAGCACTGGTCCTAGGACCGACCCCGGTGGGACCCCGCTCGTCAAAGGTGCCCACTGTGATACCTCATCACGTACCATGACTCGTTGTTGCCTCCCTGTCAGGTATTCTCTGATCCATTGCAGCGCCGTTCCTTATACGCGCCTGATCCTCTAGCTTCTGCACCAATCTCGTGTGAGGAACTGTGTCGAAGGCCTTCTTGCAGTCCAAGAAGATGCAATCAACCCACCCCTCTCTCTCGTGTCTGACTTCGGTTACTTTATCATTAAACTCCAGTAGGTTTGTGACACAGGATTTGCCTTCCATAAATCCGTGCTAGTTGGCGTTTATACTCTTGTTCCGTTCCAGGTGCTCCACCACTCTCCTCCTGATAATCTTCTCCATGACTATGCATACTATACACGTCAATGATACTGGTCTATAATTTAGTGCCTCTTTTCTGTCTCCTTTTTTAAATATGGGAACTACATTTGCCGTCTTCCATACTTCAGGTAGTTGCCCAGTATCAAGGGATGTGTTGAAGATTGTGGTTAGTGGCACACACAACATTTCTGTTCCCTCTCCAAGGACCCACGGGTAGATGTTGTCTGGTCCCATTGCCTTTAAGGTATCAAGGTCCCTTCGCAGCTTCTTCACCTCCTCCTCGGTTGTGTGTATGTCATCTAACACTTGTTGGTATATTCCTTGTTGGTGTCCCCCTCTGTTCTGTCCACCCAGAGTCCTTCCTGTCTCCACTGTAAATACATCCTTAAATCTCTTGTTGAGCTCCTCACATACCTCTTGATCGCTTCTGATGAGTTCCCCACCTTCTTTCCTCAGCCTGATCACCTGGTCTTTGACTGTTGTCTTCCTCCTAATGTGGCTATACAGCAGTTTCGGGTCAGACTTGGCTTCCGATGCTATGTCGTTTTCGTACTGTCGCTGGGCCTCCCTCCTTATCTGTGCATACTCGTTTCTGGCTCTTCGACTAGTCTCTCTATTTTCCTGGGTCCTTTGCCTCCTGTACCTTTTCCATTCTCTGGTGCACTTAGTTTTTCCTCCCTACACCTTCGGGTAAACCAAGGACTCGCTTTGGTCTTCCCATTATTTCTATTGCCCTTGGGAACAAACCTTTCCTCTGCTTCCCTACATTTTGTTGTTACGTATTCCATCATTTCATTTACTGACTTTCTTGCCAATTCTCTGTTCCACTGAACCTCCTGCAGGAAGTTCCTCATACCTGTGTAGTCCCCTTTTTATAGTTTGGCTTTTCCCATCCTACTCCCGTTGCCCTCTCTTCTTGTAATTCTACTATGTATTCAAAACACAGAACCATGTGATCACTAGCTCCAAGGGGCCTCTCATATGTGATGTCCTCAATGTCTGAACTGCTCAGGGGGAACATAAGGTCCAGTCTTGCTGGTTCATCATCCCCCCTCTCTCTCTCTGGTATTGTCCTTAACATGTTGATGAATTAGGCTTTCCAGTACCATATCCATCATCTTGGCTCTCCATATTTTGGGACCTCCATGTGGCTCCAGGTTTTCCCAGTCGATCTCCCTGTGGGTGAAATCGCCCATAACCAGTAACTTTGCTCTGCTCGAGTGAGCTCTTCTTTCCACCTCAGCCAGTGTGCCCACCATTGCTCTGTTGCTCTCTTCCTATTCCTCTCTTAGCCTCCTGCAGTTCTGTGGTGGATTATACATCACTGCAATGACTACCTTATGTTTCCTAGATTGAAGTGTACCTACTGTGTGTGTGTGTGTGTGTGTGTGTGTGTGTGTGTGTGTGTGTGTGTGTGTGTGTGTGTGTGTGTGTGTGTGTGTGTGTGTGTGTGTGTGTGTGTTGGTAGGCCTCTAGGACTTACCTGACCATCCTGTAGTTATCCTCCAGAACCGGCCGGACTATCTCGAAGGATTCATCGAAAATGATAGGAGGATTCTCTGAGAAGTCGACATCCCTATCCCAGGCGCATTGGTCAGCTGTAAAGGCAACCACAATACTGACATCACTTAACCCTCAGGATCTCAATATCAGGAGGAGAAGGAGAGCATTGCATGTTGGAATAATATTAGTAATAATGGTAGAATTACCGACGATATGTCACATTAGTTGCATCTGTGTTTATTTACCTAGAATAATAATATTTGCACGAGGAATCCCTGAACCATAGAAGCCAAACAGCAGTATGAGAATGGGAAGTAAACAAGTTGAATCCAAAGGAGAGGGTAGTTTGAATTCCTTTTATGAAGATCTTCCCATCGTCCTGACCCCTCCTAGTGAAGGCCTCATCTGGAGATGTTCATTAAGCGTCTGGCTAAAAATTTCAGGGTGCGACAGGAACAGGTAAGACAGTCATAAGAACATAAGAACATAAGAAAGGAGGAAAAGTGCAACAGGCCTGTTGGCCCATACTAGGAAGGTCCTTCACAGAGATGTTTTGTCCAATACTGAGTTGCCCTTTTCTAATCAGGTAATTATTCCTTGGGTAACATTGATAATCATTCTTTGGGTAACAGTGATAATCATTTCCTGGGTAGCATTGATAATCATTCCTTGAGTAACACTGATAATCATTCCTTGAGTAACACTGATAATCATTCTTTGGGTAACATTGATAATCATTCTTTGGGTAACACTGATAATCATTCCTTGAGTAACACTGATAATCATTCTTTGGGTAACATTGATAATCATTCTTTGGGTAACACTGATAATCATTCCTTGAGTAACACTGATAATCATTCTTTGGGTAACATTGATAATCATTCTTTGGGTAACACTGATAATCATTCCTTGAGTAACACTGATAATCATTCTTTGGGTAACATTGATAATCATTCCTTGAGTAACACTGATAATCATTCCTTGAGTAACACTGATAATCATTCTTTGGGTAACATTGATATCATTCTTTTGGGTAACACTGATAATCATTCCTTGAGTAACACTGATAATCATTCCTTGAGTAACACTGATAATCATTCCTTGGGTAACATTGATAAACATCCCTTAGGTAAAATTGACAATGGGTTGAGCGAATATTTTTGTTAGTGGGTTTGAATTTGAGAGGGACTTGCCAAGTATGGGCCAGTAGGCCTGCTGCAGTGTTCCTCCTTTCTTATGTTAATTGTTAGTCAAGTTTATAACCTATCGACTTCACGGCTTTCACGACCAGTAAAATGTACTTTAATACACAATGTGAGGAGAACGAACTAAATCCAGTGTATATACATTAAGAGACATGCACCTCTCAGTGTATATACACGGAGAGACATACATTGGAGACAGGAAGGCCTCTGGGTGAACAGAACAGAGGGGGACGCCAAAAGGAATATACCAACAAGTGTTGGATGACATACACACAACTAAGGAGGAGGTGAAGAAGCTGCTAAGGGATCTTGATACCTCAAAGGCAATGGGACCAGGCAGCGTCTCCCCGTGGGTCCTTAGAGAGGGAGCAGAAATGCTGTGTGTGCCACTAACCACAATCTTCAACACATCCCTTGAAACTGGGCAACTACCTGAAGTATGGAAGACGGCAAATGTAGTACCCATATTTAAAAAAGAGACAGAAAAGAGGCACTAAACTATGGACCAGTGTCACTGACGTGTATAGTATGCAAAGTCATGGAGAAGATTATCAGGAGAGTGGTGGAGCACTTGGAGTGGAACAAGAGTATGAACTCCAACCAGCACGGATTTATGGTAAAGTAACAGAAGTAAGACACCAGAGAGTGGGGTGGGTTGATTGGATCTTCTTGGACTACAAGAAGGCCTTCGACACAGTTCCTCACAGGAGATTAGTGCAGAAGCTAGAGGATCAGGCGCATATAACAGGAAGGGCACTGCAATGGATCAGAGAATACCTGATAGGGAGGCAACAGCGAGTCATAGTACGTGATGAGGTATCACAGTGGGCACCTGTAATGAGCGGGGTCCCACAGGGGTCGGTCCTAGGACCAGTGCTATTTCTGGTATTTGTGAATGACATGATGGAAGGGCTAGAATCAGAAGTGTCCCTGTTCGCAGATGATGTGAAGTTAATGAGAATTAAATCAGATGAGGATCAGGTAGGGCTTCAACGAGACCTGGACAGGCTGGACGCCTGGTCCAGCAACTGCCTTCTCGAATTTAACCCCACCAAATGCAAAGTCATGAAGATCGAAGAAGGGCAAAGAAGACCGCAGACGGAGTATAGGCTAGGTGGCCAAAGACTGCAAACCTTGCTCATGGAGAAAGCTCTCGATGTGAATATAACACCGAGAACGTCTCCGGAAGCACACATCAACCAGGTAACTGCTGCAGCATATGGGCGCCTGGCAAACCTGAGAATAGCGTTCCGATACCTTAGTAAGGAATCGTTCAAGACACTGTACACCGTGTACCTCAGGCCCATACTGGAGTATGGGGCACCTGTTTGGAACCCACACTTGTTCAAGCACGTCAAGAAATTAGAGAAAGTGCAAAGGTTTGCGACAAGGTTAGTTCTAGAGCTAAGGGGAATGTCCTACGAAGAAAGGTTAAGGGAAATCGGCCTGACGACACTGGAGGACAGGAGGGTTAGGGGAGACATGATAACGACATACAAAATACTGCGTGGAACAGACAAGGTGGACAGAGACAGGATATGCCAGAGATGGGACACAGAAACAAGGGGTCACATTTGGAAGTTGAAGACCCAGATGAGTCAAAGGGATGTTAGGAAGTATTTCTTCAGTTATAAAGTAGTCAGGAAGTGGAATAGCCTAGCAAGTGAGGTATTGGAGGTAGGAACCATACATAGCTCTAAGATGAGGTATGATAAAGCTCACGGAGCAGGGAGAGAGAGGACCTAGTAGCACTCAGTGAAAGGCGGGGCCACGAGCTGAGTATCGACCCCTGCAACCAAAATTAGGTGAGTACAACTAGGTGAGTACCTCTCAGTGTATATACACTGAGACATACACCTCTCAGTGTATATACACTGAGACATACACCTCTCAGTGTATATAGACTGAGACATACACCTCTCAGTGTATATAGACTGAGACATACACCTCTCAGTGTATATAGACTGAGACATACACCTCTCAGTGTATATAGACTGAGACATACACCTCTCAGTGTATATAGACTGAGACATACACCTCTCAGTGTATGTAGACTGAGACATACACATCTTAGTGTATATACACTGAGACATACACCTCTCAGTGTATATAGACTGAGACATACACCTCTCAGTGTATATAGACTGAGACATACACCTCTCAGTGTATATAGACTGAGACATACACCTCTCAGTGTATATACACTGTATATAGACAGTGTTCGCATCGCTATTGGGCCGTGCGGACGTGCTGCGCAGTAGCTCCTGATTGAGTTGGCTTTTGCGCAGTGTTGACGTGTACTTATCTCTGTGAAGACCTGTTTGCGCGCTCTCTACGAATTGAAGCAAGATGCCCTCCATCGAGCAACTTTACCAACAGCTTAAGGAAGAATTGAGGATGGCGAAGTTAGAGATTCGGCGACTGACCGAGGAAAACAAGAAGATTCGTAGTAGTCCTCCTGTTTTGAGTCCTCAGGTCAAGAAGGGAAACTGGTCAGTGGCTAGACAGCAGGGAACGAAGTTGACGATCAAGAAGACGAATGGAAAGATAGAAACGATGAAGAAGAAAGAGACTGCCGTGGAAACTGTTGTGGAAACATCTAATACATTCTCAGTGCTACCCGACGAATGTGAGTCGACTACTGGGAACATCACGACGAATGACACCAAGGAAGGTAAGAATATTGTTGTTGGGGATAGCCAAGTTAGGTATATGGATAGGGCGTTCTGCTTGAAGGACAGGAGTAGGAGACAGAGAGTTTGCTTTCCTGGGGCTGGGATGGAGGATATTGTTAGCCGTCTGGATGACATCATGAGAGGTAATGGGAGCAATCCTATTATCTGTCTCAGTGCTGGAGGCAACGATGTTGGCAGACGTAGGAGTGAAGACCTGATTAGCAGGTATAGGTCAGCAATAGAAATAATTAGGAGTAAGGGTGGGAACCCTGTCATATGTGGTATTTTGCCAAGGAGAGGAGTTGGAAATGAATGGTTGTCCAGGGCAATTGTGTCAATTGCTGGCTGGCCAAATACTGTAAGGAAAATGCGGTAACATTCATTGACAACTGGGACCTCTTCTATGGCAGAAATGACATGTATGCCAGGGATGGGGTTCACTTATCTAGGTCTGGGGTGGTAGCACTGGCAACTGCAGTGGAGGAGCAGTTAGGACTTTAAACTAGGAATAGTTAGTGGTATGGGTTTTGGCAGGAAAACAGTGAAGTCCCAGTGTAGTAATATTACGAGTTCTAGGGGAACTAGTAATAAGCAGAATGAGGTAGATATTGAAAAGCCAGGGACTTTGGGTGATAAGGACAATAATAGGTTTAGTAGAAAAACAGAAATAAGCAGGAAGGGTAAAGAGAAAGGAGAGTCTTTCAATGTTTATTATGCTAATTGCCGTAGTGCTAGGAATAAGATGGACGAGTTGAGATTAGTTGCTAGTGTAAGTAACATTGATGTATTTGCCTTAACTGAGACGTGGTTTAATTCAAAAAGTCGGGACATGCCTGCGGAATGTCATATTCAGGGTTTTAAATTGTTCAAAGTAGATAGAAGTATCGGGAAGGGGGGTGGGGTGGCATTGTATGTCCGAGATCGCTTGAACTGTTGCATAAAAACGGGTATTAAGTCTGAATAATACATACAGAGTCTGTTTGGATAGAATTTTCAGAGGGCATGAAAAACTGATTTTAGGAGTGATATACCGTCCCCCAAACTTAGATAGGGACCAAGGGAGACTACTATGGGAGGAAATTGTTAAGGCCACAAGGCACGATAATGCAGTAATTCTAGGAGACTTTAACTTTAGTCATATTGATTGGAATTTCTTGACTGGGAATTTAGAATCATACGACTTCTTAGAAGTAGTTCAGGATTTTTTTTGAAGCAGTTTGTGACAGAACCTACAAGGGGTAATAACCTGCT